TTTATAGTGTAGGTGTCAGCATCTCCTCTCTGGCAGTCTCTAATCAGTAAGGTGGTGATGCCCTGAGATGCTTCAATACACATCCGGCCAGTATCACCCAGTCCTGTATCGCCCTTCTTCCAGGTAGCAGTGGGGTTTGGAACTCCAGTGATGGGGATGTTAATGCGCGTTGTGCTGCCCTCCTTAACCACACAGCAGCCATCGTGCAGATCACTTAAGTTGCAGTCGGGTAGCACTAAAGTTCAAAACGATAATCGTCATTAAAAAGTTAAACATTATAATTTTAGTATAACTAAGAATAGCATGAAGGCATTTTTACCAAATTGGTCCTTTGCAACAGCAGTGAGCTCAGTGGGCGGTCCCTCTCCAGACTCGTTGAGTGCCTTGACCCTGAAAGAATACTCCTTGCCTTCTGTCAGTTCTCCAATCGTGTGCGAGGTATTCTTGCCTTTCACGATCTGCTTCCACTTCTCCTCGCCTTCACCCTGCTCCAAGATGTATGCAGTAATAAAACTTCCACCATCATTGATTGGCTTCTTCCAGGACAGGGTGATCGAGTTCTTTGTAGTCTTCTGAGCTTTGAAGTCTGTCACCGGACCAGGTTGCTCTGCAGAGGAAGGACAAATGGACGAAGGTTGAACGTTTGTGTTTTTTTAGCTACATATATAGTGTCTTTCTTTGAGCTCATGAATGCAGTGAATGAGTATATTTAAATTTAAGTATCAAATATCTTGTAACTACCAGAGGCCCTGATGCTGCCTGGGGTCTCACAGCCTTCTCCAATGCCGTATGCATTTTCAGCTAGAACTCTGAAGCAGTAGGCCTGTCCTGCCTCCAGGTTGGTGATCCTGAAGGAGATCTTAGGACAATCTGCTGACACACAGGTCCAGGCTTTCCTCTCAGCCAAACGTTTCTCTACGATGTAGTTCTTAACTGGACTACCACCATCAATCAGTGGGGCATCCCAGGTGATGCAGGCATGGGTTCTGGAGGTTTCCTTCACAGTCAGGTTTAAGGGCGGGCCCGGAGAATCTACGTGGGCAAGAGAAGCAATTTCTTTGCATTATAGCTTTCAGAAAGTTATACAAGCACGAGTACAAATGCATGTCTGAAGGGAAAACACACATTAGGCCTATGTGTGCACTCTATATTTATTTATATATCTTATATAATCATATATATGTTCTACTTTTTTACACATTTTAAGGTGAAAACTAGGTTCGACTCCATTTAATACATTTAATGTTTCATTTTTAAAACCACTATTTCAAGAATTGTATTTCAGCTTGATGCAAGTTAAGAAAAACCTTTGAACTATAAATCAGTGAAAAGGTTTTTCACTGGTTTCATTTACATGTCTACATTGCATGTGACAGCACAACTCACTGGAGTGTGTGTACTCAAATTCTTACCGAGGACCTTTACTACGATGGTGTAGCTCTTAGAGCCGCTGCTGTTCTCCAGTGACAGAACATATTTGCCAGAATCACATCTGTTAACATCCTCAATCATCAGCAGGGTGTCCCACTCCGATGTCTTGATCAGCAGTCCTTGCCTTTCCTTCAAATTAGCATCAACTTTAGTCCATGTCACCTTCGGTGCTGGGCGTCCTCTCAGCGGTACGTAGAGCCTCATGGTTACTCCAGCTCGCAGAACCAAAGCTTTTCTCAGGTCGGCGTCAAGCTCAGCATCAGGAGCAACTGGAGGAAACAAAGGGCAAGTCATTAACAGTGTTGGATAAGTTACTTTGAAAAGGTAATTAATTATAGTTACTAGTTACTAGTTACTGTTTCCTCAGTCAAACAGCAGCACTCATGCGATTGTTTTGCCTCCTGAGCTCCAGGTGTTGTGCTAGAGTTACAAGATTCTAAAAGTAATAATTACTTGAAAAGTAACTATTGTGTTACTTTAAAACAATCCAGGGTATAATTGGCCATTTTAACTACTTTTCACCTTTAAAAACTATTTACTTTGTTTGGTATCATCCTTTTCAGCACAGCCTCACGTGTCTGAATTTACAGTCATGTTTTCATTTTGACAAACTGTATTAACACAATTGATCTAAAATCAGACAAAAAACAAAGTCAGAGCAGAAAAAGTTATATTTTTACTGTAACAACCACAAAAATGTTTAATGATCATATTTCACAACTTTAAATGCAAATATAAATTGTCAATGTTAAAATCATATGCACATTTTGCAAACAACAAAGTTATTTGCAGCCATTTACCTTTTGCCCTCTTTTAAATAACCATTTCAAACTGTTTACAGAACAATCAGCTGTTCTTCAATAAGATGCCACAAATTATTTGTGCCACTCCAAATATTTCTGTCCACTATAAAGGAAACATCACAGCCTGATACCTGCAGGTCTGACAGCAGCAGGTGTGTCACTCCTGTTTTACCTGGAGACAGCAGTCGCCTCATTGTTCTGACACACAACACAACACTACACACTAACTACACAAGACAACACATTAAGTACACACTCCAAACATGCTATCCATCCATCCATTCGCTTCTGCTTCTCCTTTTCAGGGTCGCGGGGGGCGCTGGAGTCTATCCCAGCTGTCATAGGGCGAAAGGTGGGGTACACCCTGGACAGGTCGCCAGTCTGTCGCAGGGCCAACACACAGGGACAGACAACCATTCACGCTCACATTCACACCTAGTGGCAATTTGGATTAGCCAATTAACCTATCCCCACAAACTGCATGTCTTTGGACGGTGGGAGGAAGCCGGAGTACCCGGAGGGAACCCACACAAACACGGGGAGAACATGCAAACTCCACACAGAAAGACCTGATGGTGGAATTGAACTCAGGACCTTCTTGCTGTGCGGCAACAGTGCTAACCACCGTGCCACCGTGCTGCCATCCAACAAACACGCTAAACGTCACAAATCTCTCACATCTCAAAACTCTCTCTCTCTCTCTCCCTCTCCCTCTTCCTAAACAACCAAATGTCATGTTGCCATATCATTTTCTGATTGGTCCACATGGTGCATTTTTCCACCAACACAAACGGGCAGTTTTTGTTTTGTTTTTCTTATTTTTTGCTCATAAGCAGAGAGGTCTCGCTGCGCTGTGCTTAGACAGTAAACGTGACGAAACTATTGAGGAAAAACACGCATATATATTCTTTATCATGACTCTGGTTTTACGTGGCCGATCAACACAGTTTATAAACTGGTATATGTCACCTTGTCGCTTTGTCTTTAAGTGGTCATGTGATTGTCTTACCACGACTACTTTATTCTTCCTCAGTCAAACAGCAGCACTCATGTGATTGTTTTGCCTGCTGAGCTCCAGGTGTTGTGCCAGAAAGTGATCGTGATTACCGTCCGCGGGAGCGCGCAGCTGCTTAAAGCTGTAGCGCCCAGATTACTTACAGCTACTTCCTGCAGCTGATATAAGATGCGGTAAGCTGAACACAGCTTCAACTGTCTGTTTGTTGAAAAATAGTAACGGACCACATTTTCTTGTTAGTAACTGTAACGGCGTTGTAACGATAGGAATAGTAATTAGTTAGATTACTCGTTACTGAAAAAAGTAACGCAGTTATTCCCATCACTGGTCATTAATCACAGTGACTAACTTAACTGTTATGTCGTCTGTTAGTTGCCATTATTTCTTCTGTTAATCTGTCATTTGGCAGTATGCTCTTTTCACAGTGCTAATTTTTCCTCCTGAAAATATTAAGTGTTCATTTTGGCTAATACCAAGAAAGTTCACCAAGAATGATGCTAATTATTGACAATTAATAAAGTTAATTTGCTAGCGGAAACAAGTAATATAATATATAGATTAAAAAGATAACCACAAAGGCCAGACCAGCAATTTCAATTACACTAGCAAATTGCTGGTTGGTCAAATTTTTCTAATAGTTGGACTTGATATGAGAAATTAGGTAAATGGTTATTTCATTTTCTTCGATTACCACTGAGCCAGTTAGTAGTCATACAATCCGATCTCCATAATGTCATATGCATTAAAGTTATTTAATGAAATGGAGTTCCTCTTTAACAGAGATACACTGTGATATAGTAATGAGAGATAAGGTGTACTACTGTATTTGCTGACGCAGTCTCTCCTTCAAAGCCAAGCTAACTCGATTGATTCTTATATTGCCTCTTGATTTAATTCTTTTTTCTTTTAGAGTTTCATCAATAGCCACACGTATTCATAACAATGATTTCGACATAAGCTGTTGATCTCCAGTGGAAAAACCATTAAATTAAACCAGTAAACTAAACAATTTTCCTTTTGGAAATTATTTATCTAAACAGTGTTGAATCAGAGACAGCTGGGAACATACTTAGAATATCCTTAGGCATGTAGTTTCCAGGCACCTCGCTGGGCTCACTGTAGCCAATCTTGTTAACAGCCGTGACTCTGAACTGGTACTCGGTGTTGTCCATCAGGCCTGTCAGCAGGAATTTCGTGGCCTGGAGTTTCTTCGGCACATTGCATCTCGTCCAGCTCTCTGCATCAACTCGCTTGCACTCAACCAAGTATCCAATGATCTCACAGCCACCATCGTATGCTGGTTTGGTCCAGCTAAGGCTAACTGACGACTTGGTAGAGTCCACCACCTTGGGGAAGGCAGGTGGCCCGGGAGGATCTAAAGAATTATTTATGAATAATTAGTTGTCTGAAGCGTTTTACTTTCATTTAGAAAGTGTGTTTTAAAGCAGATACTCACAGACAGGGTCAACAGCCAGGGCACCGTTTGAAGCATCGCTGGGTTTCCCAAGACCAGCCTTGTTTATAGCAATTACTCTGAACTCATACTCAGAGCCCTCAGTCAGTTGAATGGCCTTGATGGTCCTATCGATGACTGGTCGGCGGTTAACCTTAGCCCAGCTCAGCTCAGTGGCCTCACGTTTCTCCACCATGTAGCCAAGGATGGGAGACTTGCCATCATTGGCTGGGGCCTTCCAGCTGACTGTCATGGAGTTCTGTGTGATGTTGGTGATGACAGGCGGCTCACATGGACCAGGAACATCTGACAAGAGATAATGTTTTAATTCTCTCCCATTAGCATCATCAATAAGCAAGATGGGCTACACCAACTTTGATCAACATGGTGTTATAAAGGAATAAAAAACTTACACATTAGCCATGTCACACAATTCACAATTTAGGGTTAGCATGCTTTCATTTTTTCATTTTATTCTCCTCAAGTAGAATACAGTGAGTTTTCTTACCATACGGATTCTTGACCGTGACGGCATCAGTCATAATGGGATCTCCCACACCATACTGGTTCTCAGCGCTGACTCGGAACTGATATTCGTGTCCTTCAATAAGTTTCTCCACTGAACAGTCAGTGATGTGTCCATGGATGTTTGAGGTGACCAATGCCCAGTTGGCCCTGCTAGTCTCACGCTTCTCAATGATGTAGTTAGTGATTTCAGAACCACCATCTGCAAGTGGTGGCACCCAGCGCAGCTTAACACGGTCAGCAAACACCTTGGAAATTTTCACTGAGGCTGGAGGGCCTGGTTTGTCTGTGGTAGAAAAAACACAAGGATAAGCTTTTTTCTCTCAAAACACGAAACGCTAGCTTAACCCTTTAAGACCTACCATAGAACCAAGTCCGCCAGAGCTTATATTATATGTTTACATGCTGTGGAGCCATTTTTGGGAGCATTTCAAGTTGCTATACATCAATACAACCATTACAGCCTAGATTTTAATAATATGTCTGCATTAAGTGCATAGTAATTACATAAATTGCAAAAAAGTGCAATAAACTACAAAAAAATTGAAAATCGTTTTTGTTTTTTTAACATATATTTCTAGTTAGAGAAATTTAAGAGGCTTATCCCTCAAAACTGTAAATACGAAAAAGTTGCACAAAATAGTTTCCCACCACAGGAAATTTATTTTGAGTGTCTTCATAGTTTTATTTTTGAAATACACCAATTTCTATACGCTGCAGGAAAAACGAAAATAAATATTATAATGCAAATTTGCAAAAAAAGCAGCATGTGCATCAAAATAAACTATTTCCAGCAGTGCAATATGAGTCCTAAGCATCCCAGAAACGACACAGAAAGTCATAAAGTCAAACATAACTTTTAAAAACACCAGTATAGGCTCATGAGGCCCTGGTGGTAAAAAACTATATTTCCGCAAAATGACGTCACTTCCGGTTTCGGGCAGGTAATGGCGGACATGCGATAGTTATGAACAGCTGATCGGATCGGCAAAGCGTGTTTCTGGAATATTATGTTTTTGTTGCTGCAAGTGCTTTTTATGCAGTTTTTGCAAAGCTATATGTGGAAGGAAACTGTGACAGAGGACAAGCTGATGGCATAAGATGTAAGTACAACTCCTCCGGTTTCATATGCAAAAAAATTATTGCACTAGCTTACGTGGTTGCAGTGCTACCGGGATTTAAAAGTAGTTGTGCAAAACGGAGCGTGCCCGCTCTGACCGGTTTTAAAGGGTTAAACACTACAATAAAATGAACTAACATAACCTTAGCTTACCGAGTACTTTGACCTTTATGGTGGCGTACTTGGTGCCATTGACATTTTCAGCTGTGATAGTGTAGTCCCCAGTCTCTTTCCTGGTGACAGAGTATAGCTCCAGCAGATGAAGATGTTTCTTTTGGGACATCTTCATTCCCTCAGCAAGGACCAGAGGTACTCCATCCTTCTTCCAGCTCACTTTGGGAAGTGGTTTGCCAAAGACCTCAGCATCCAGGAAGACATTTTCTCCAGCTTTCACCACAATCAGGTTCTTCATGTTAACACCTACTTCCACACGAGGAGCAACTGCATAGAAGAGAAAAAAAACCCTCATGATTATTTGTATATGACAGTATTTGTGTATCACTTTCGTTACTATGCAGAGTTGTACCATTCTCTGCGATGACAGGAATCGGGTCAGATAGCTCAGATGGAAGGCTGCTGTTGATTGCAGTCTTGGCGATGACTCTAAACTGGTATTGTTGACCCTCCTGTAGGTTAGTCACCACATAGTTCTCTGTCTGGATGTTCATGCAGTTGGCATTGCAGCGAGTCCACTTCTCTTCTGGAAGCTTTGTATATTCCACGTAGTAGCCAATCAACTTGCTGCCACCGTCATGCTTTGGACGGCCCCACACTAATGATACAGTGCTCTTGGTCACATCCATGGGCTCGGGTTTTCCTGGTGGGTCTAGATAGAAACAGAAACCCCACAAATGAACAGTTGTAGACGATACTGTTTGAATAAGAAAGAATGAACTTGAATGCAAAAGAGTGCAAATATATATAGCAATATATCCTGAAATTAAAAAGAAAATATATTAACCAGGAAAAGTAGAATTTGAATCATTCTGATATGAGTCAAAGAAGATTGTGGGTGGGGAGTATTGTGTAGGTGACATGGAATAATGTGGGTATTAAATCAACTACAGCATGTTTATTTAAAGGAAGGGTTCCCTAGCTTTACTGTTATATACTTTACTATAATACTGTTGAGTTGATATTGATTGATTGATAATTTAAAAAAAGTGTAACTGATTGATCAACTGATAGACAGAAAAATAGAATTCACCACTTTAATGTTAGAAAAATGGGCTTCTGTATTTCAGATGTGTTTGGTTAGTTAACTTGCAACGGAAGTAGGTATTTTAAAAATAAATTTCCTTATCTTTTTGTTTGACATGTATTAAAGGGACTGGGGCTGCTGAACTGAATCACTATTAAATATTTAGCCTTGGTACATGGAGCACGTTATCTAACAGGGGAGATACATTTTTATCCCGTGGTTAAAAATATTTTTTAAAAAATCAAATGTTTGCTAGCTTCAAAAACTGATCGGGAAATGTTAAAAACAACAGAGGGCATACATAAAATGATGTATATGATGTTTTTTCCAGTTAATAAAAACATGAATGACATAAAAATGCAGTTGTGTTGTGAAGAGCTCTTTGAATTTAAAGTTGTCATTTTTGTACTATTGGTTTTAACCCTTTAAGACCTACCATAGAACCAAGTC